TGTGTGTGTGTGTGTGTGTGTGTGTGTGTGTGTGTGTGTGTGTGTGTGCGCGCACGCGCGTTCGCGTGCACGACTTATACGTGTTTGTGCTCAGATGTGGTGCATTGTGTGCACAAGTCAGGTGGGTCGGCACCAACAGCCGATTGGTTCTTTGGGTTGGGTAGCCAGGCCCTCGCCCTTCTGGTCTGAGGGCAGCCATTACAAGACACGAGTCCCCCTGGCTATGATGTGGTCTGATCAGGTCAGCCGAGCATCCAAATCGTGCAGACTGTGGATCAGTCTGGTCGGCCCTCTCACCTCATCCAGCAGCATCACCTGCAGCAGAGCAGCAAACAGGGAGAGGGGTGCGGGGGGAACGGGCCACACAGATGGGTGACGTCAGCGGCGTCGGCGCAGCACCATTGAGCAGCCAGGGCTTGCACTGGACAAAACATGCGCCATCTGACGAGGACGCATCGACTCACAAATCGCGGCATGGACGCACAGAAGCAAGCACGCGACAAGCAGAGGCGCCTGAGGGCAGAGCGCGCTCTCAAAGCCAGCCGCTCGCCCCTTGTCATCCGCCCAGCCCCACCCGGGGATCCTTGACCACCGCCCGCGCTATGGCAACGCGCTGCTTCTGGCCGCCGCTCAGCTGCACGCCGCGCTCGCCCACGCGCGTGTCGTAGCCGCCGGGCAGGGCAGCTATGAAGTCGTGGGCGTTGGCGGCGCGCGCGGCCGCCTCGACCTGCTCCTGGGTGGCGCCTGGGGCGATTTGGCGGGGGCGGTCGCGGCGGTTGGGTCGTCGGTTGGGACGGTTGGGGCGTTGATTATTTAGAGCGGGCGAGGTGTGGTGATGAGGCGCCGTGAACGCTGACCGCGGCGCGTGCACTCCTAGCAGCGCGCGAGCGCTCGTTGAGGGTCAAGACGCTGCGACGGCGAGCCCGCACTGGCAGCTCGCGTGGAAAAAAAATTCGCCCCGGCTCAAAGAACGTGGTAGCCCGTGTCGGGGCAGCTCCAACAAGCCGCGTAAGAGTGGCAGGGGCCGGGCCCCCACCTGGTGCGCCGTATCTGATGTTGTCGAGGATGCTGCCAGAGAACAGCAGCGGCTCCTGGGATACCAGGCCGATCTGGAGGGGCGGCCAGAGTTGGGCGGTGTTTGGCGGTTTTGGGCGACTTCTGGCGGTTTCGGGCAGTGGGTGTCCGTCACCACAGCACGACGCCATTGCATAGGATGGCAGGCAACCCCTGATTGCGCGACCCAATCTTGCCAAGGCACCCTCCCCACCAACATCCCCAAATCCCTACAAGGATGCTCGATGATTGCCGCCCTCGCAACAGCATCCCAACATTGGCGACGCTTGGCCACTGTGCTGACTCTCCTTCCTTCCCCCCTTGTGTTGTTCCTGGCCCCCCTCCCCAAAAACAGCAGATGAAGGAATCACAGATACACCCCCACAACGCACCTGCTGCCGCAGCCAGCCCAGGTTGAGGGCCCGCAGGTCGACGCCGTCCAGGGTGACGCGCCCCGCGGCCGGGTCGTAGTAGCGCTCGATCAGCCCCACAACGGTGGACTTGCCAGACCCTGCGGCGGGCGGCCAGGGGGGGGATTCGGCGACCTTTCGTAGGACGGCGCGGGCGGCACGGCGATGACGGCAGGGTGCGGGGCGGCGGTCCAGTTGCTGTTGGTGGACGGGGGCCCGGCAGCTGTAAGCCCCAAGCAGGTGTGCGGCAAGAACGGTGCGAATGGGGGGCGGCAGAGGACGACCCCTGGGATGGTGATGCAGGGAGTGTTGGGGGCAGCAGCAGCGGCACACAAGCAGGGGGG